CATCCACCCATCATCCATCCACCCGTCCATCCTCCATTCATCTATCCTCCATCCACCTGTCCATTATCCATCCATCCACCCATCCTTCATCCACTCACCCATCCATCATCCATTCACCCATCCATCATCCATTCACCCATCCATCCTCCATCCTTCATTCATCCATCCTCCATCCACCCATCCATCCATTTTACCACCATCCATCATCCATCCATCCATCCATCCTCCATCCATTATCCATCCATCCATCCATCGACCCATCCATCATCCATCCATCGACCCATCCATCATCCATCGACCCATCCATCATCCATCCATCCATCCATCCATCCACCCATCCATCCTCCATCCTTCATACATGCATCCTCCATCCACCCATCCTTCATCCATCCACCCATCCATTTTACCACCCATCCATCCTCCATCCACCAACCCACCCATCATCCACCCATCCACCCATCCTCCATCCAGTCATTTACCCACCCACCCATTTTACCACCAATCCATCCTCCATTCACCCATCCATTCAACATATGTCCTAGGATCCACCCACGTGTCTGCCTGCTCTCTGCTGGTTCAGCCCCTCATCTGTTGATTCTCCCTCTTTCCCCTTCTCTTTAAAAGCCCCTCCTCTGGGCCAGGTCCTGGGTCCCATGGGCTGGAGGGCTTCTCGGTGGCAGGGCTTCCCTGAGTGACCTGTTGTTCTTAATTGCCCTCTGGTGACTGGACCCTCAAGGGTGATGGTGGCCTCTTGAGGGTCCAGTCACCAGAGGGTTCAGTCACTTCACCTCGGCCCTGAGAACAGAGGCAGGCAGCCAGAAGGCAGGTCCTCTGGGGAGGCCCGGAATGCATCTAAGGCCAGAGCAGGGCCCCCGCTGCCCCCTTGTGGGAGTCCTGGTGCCAGGTGTCCTTGCAGCGGTTGTGACTGTTCTTCCTCCTGGGAGCCCCAAGCAGATCCCAGAGACGTGCAGAGGGGCCAGGCTAGCCCTGTTTCACTGGCCTGCTCTGATGCTGCCCCATGTGGCCCCTCCCTGTCTATGCTTTGGGTCCTACCTGGGCTCAGAAAGGGATGGGAGAGAGGAGTTTGGGGCCAGGCAGGGAGCAGGGGCTGCCTGAGTCTGGGGAGTTGGCCCCTGAGCTGTGCACAGTGGAAACATGGGGAGTCTGAGGGGCTGGGCAGTGGCTGGGCCTGGGAATGCCTGCTGGGGGCTTGGGAGGGGCTCCCCCGGCCTTTCTGGAGCTGGGTCTGGGCTGTGTACTTGCTGTTCCTGCAGGGCTCAGGTGTGTGTGTGAGTGTGAGAGTGTCCATGTGCCCATGTACCCCGTACAGAGCAGTGTGGAGGTGGGAGGTGCCCCTTTCTGCATGAGTCGTGGGGCCAACCTGAGGCCAACCCACTAGGGTGGTGGGGCTCACCTGGAGCTTGTCCTTCTCCCAGTGGGTCCTGGAGCCCAGCCCCTCACTCCCTTGCCATTCCTCCCACTACCTGCCCTAGGCACCAGCCTCTATCTCTGCCAGCCTGCCCCTCTCACCCTCCCCATTCCCTCCCAGCTGCAGCCACAGACGGCTCTCTCAGGGACAAACGGCCATGCCACTGCCCACTTGGAACTCTCTGGGGCAGCCGAGTCTCTCAGAACCCACCCTGGGCTGTGCCTGCCTCGGCAGACCTGATTTCACCCCAGCGAGGCCTCCTGCACCACACACTCACACTCACACTCAAACCAGGTGGAAGGGCTCTCGGGGGTGCCAGGGGCCCCTGAGGCTCGGGCAGGGGGTGCTCTTCCCTCCCCGTGACCTGGCCCTTTCCCACATGCTGAGACCCTGAGTCTGGACAGACAGGCGCCGGATGGAAGCGTGGGGCTGCTTGGGGGAGCATGGAGTTTATTCGGGGGTAGGGACAGGTGGGCTCAGTAGCAGACGCCGTCCACCTCCGCCATGACCACAGACACATTGACGTGAGTGGGTTTACCCGCCAGGCGGTCGATGGTCTTCTGCGTGAAGGCCAGCGGCAGGGCCTCGTGGCCCACCATGCAGGAGAAGGTGTCGCCCTTGTTCCAGGCCTCGGCCGGCACGCGCAGCACGCTGGTCACGGCGAAGGTGGTGGTGTCCTGGCTGGGCTCTTGCCGGGATGTCCAAGTCAGGTACTTCTCTCGGGGCAGCTCCTGGGACCCCTGCAGCCAGCGAACCAGCACTTCCTTGGGGCTGAAGCCGCGTGCCAGGCACGTCAGCGTCACCAGCTCGTTCAGGGCCAGCTCCTCCGACGGCGGCGGCAGCAGGTGGACCTGGGGCCGGAAGCTGTTTCCTGGAGGGTAGAGAGCCAGGTCAGGGGGCTGGACGGGGGGTGAGGGAGACTCCCTGCTCTGATGGCACCCTGGGCTGTGTCCTGGTCCCCCTCAGCCTGCTTCAGTTTCCCTCTGTACTTGGCATGAGCAACCTGAGACCAGGATGGTGAGGGAGGAGGCAGCCCAGGAAGATGCTTTGCAAACTAGAGCACGAGCAGGGCCCCAAGCTGGGTTCGGGCCCACCTGGTTTTGTGATGGTGGCGGTCAGCGGGGTTTTGGCCTCAGGGTAGGCAGCAGTGCACGTGAAGGTCTCCCCACGGTTCCACGGATCGGCACAGCCAGGCAGGACACTGGACACCCTGTAGCAGCCACAGAGGTCATGCTCAGGTTTCCCCTGGACAGCGGTCTTCCCACTGGAGGACTTCCAGGTGAAGGTGACGTCCGAGGCATTGGTCAGGCCGGTCAGTGTGCACGTGAGGTTCGCTTCTGAACCCAGGAGCAGGTCCTCGAGGGCTGGCCGGTGCAGTGACAGTCGGGGCTCGCAGCACGAGCGACATGGTTGTTGGCAAGGAACTGCTGTGGAGAGATGGCCTGAGCCGGCAGCACACCCCTCCCCGTGCCCCCGCCCTGCCCCTCCTGGCCTGTCGACCCCCCACCCCCGGGGCTTTGCCAGCAGTCCACTCTGGTGTGAGTGAAGGGGCGGCTCCCTGTGGGGAACACGGGCCTAGGCGCTGTGTCAGGGCAGGGTAGGGTGGCCCCGCCCCGCTCCCCAGCGTGCCCTCTGACCCCGCCCCGCTCCCCAGCCTGCCCTCTGACCTCTGCAGGGCACGGTCACATCCTGGCTGTTGAACGTGTAGTGCTTCACGCTGCATTTCAGGGACTTGGTGTCTGGGCACTGCGCAGCTGGCAGGGTCAGTTGGCTGCTCATGGTGTACGGGCCCCCGGCGGCCGCCTGGCTGGGCGGGAAGTTTGTGGTGGTCCCGCTTTGGCTCCAGGTCACACTGAGCGGCTCCTGGGGGAAGAAGCTCCGGACCAGGCAGGCGACGACCACGTTTCCGTCTGGCTGCTGCTGGCAGGCGAGGCCCAGTGGGAAGACCTGGGGCTGGGTCGGGGATTCTGGAACACAGGGTGCGCTGTGAGGGTGCAGCCCTCCTACCGTGTCCCAGGAGCACAGGCTGTGCTGGCCTTTCCTCTACACTGGAGGAGCCTGGCACAGGGAGGCCCCGTGATGGCCCTGAGGTCACACAGCTCTGGCACCACGGGCCTGCGATGGGACCCGGTTGTCTGATCCCAGCGACGTGGCTTCTGAACACACACCTCAGATACGGCCCTGACCCAGGCCGTCCCTGACACCAGCTGTGTTAAACAGGGCTCTGTCACATAGCGGCCGAGTCCCCCGAGCCCCCTGAGCTCCCGACCTCAGCGCCTGCTCTGGCTGGGGGACATGTCTTGCTCTCTCCCCTGCAGCTAGAGAGGATCTTGGTGGGGGCTGTGAGGAGGGGTCCTGGGCTCTGAGTGCTGCTTGGATGGGTTAGGGCGTGGGTGGCTCAGCTGTGACCCCACCTCCCTGTCCTCGGTCAGTCCAACACCCACCCCTCCACAAACCCCACCCCAGGCCCCAGCAAGCCACAGTGAACCCCTGTGGTCTATGCAGTCTCAGGACCGGAGGTCAAAACACTAAGCCGTGCCCCTGCCAGGCCCTCCTGGACAGGGCCTGCTACACAGGGGAGCTCTGGGCCAGCTCATTCCAAATTTCCTCCAGAGCAACAGGCCAGGGAGAAGACAGAATCATGGTGCAACTGAGCTATGTGGCTTTCAGAACCCCTGAGAACACAGACTGCCAAGCTGGGACTCTGCAGGTGGATTCACATTCAACCCACGGCCTCCTTCTCACATGAGCAACCACCTCAGCCCAGCCCAGTCCAGCCCAGCCCAGGTCAGTCCAGCCCAGCCCAGGTCAGTCCAGCTCAGCCCAGCCAGGTCAGTCCAGCCCAGCCCAGCCAGGTCAGTCCAGCCCAGCCCAGAGGCCAGCTCAGTACAGCCCAGCCCAGCTCAGCCCAGCCCAGCCCAGGTCAGTCCAGCCCAGCCCAGCCAGGTCAGTCCAGCCCAGCCCAGAGACCAGCTCAGTCCAGCCCAGCCCAGCCAGGTCAGTCCAGCCCAGCCCAGAGACCAGCTCAGTCCAGCCCAGCCCAGCCAGGTCAGTCCAGCCCAGCCCAGAGACCAGCTCAGTCCAGCCCAGCCCAGCCAGGTCAGTCCAGCCCAGCCCAGAGACCAGCTCAGT